CCTTTTTTTTTGGAATTTTTTCCACCCCCCTTTTTTTTTTTTTTTTTTTGATAGATGGTTATTTTGCTGGTAAATGCTTGAATTCCTGGATGTAATGGTCAGTTCACATGAGTAGTATTGAGGTCCATGAAAATTCCAGCATGGCTTGTTCCACTGAGAAGTCTTTGAAGGAGCAAGGCGTAGCATTGAACTACATATTTCTTTAAGTAAGTCTCTTTTTATAGCTAGAGATAAATATGCATTTTTTGCCTCTGATGGAGCATTCTTTTCAAGTGAATACAACTTATCATGTGCAATTTAAAACATTGTCTAGCTTCGTCCATCATTATTGCCTCTTTTTTAATGCAAACTCTCCCAGCAAGATGTAGTTTTAATCTGAATGGTCACAACAGTCCTTAAAATTCACGAGGACAAAAGCAGATGTATACACAGATCATTAGAAATGGCCCTTTTGAAGACGGTTTTTCCTTTCCTGTTTTTACATCTATCCGTGAATCATCTGTGTATTCATTTTTTTTTCATATTTCTGTTGTACCATTGGGATCAGATACAATGCTTGACTACAGAGGCAGTTTGAAGAAATCAAGAATATCAGTTTGATTATCTTTGCCAGCCAAACCTGCAGTCATGGCAGAGCTTATATTAAATCTTAGTAACAAAGTCCATAGAAGTATATTGTCCAGCATTGATTTTGATCCTTCTTTTCATATTTTTACAGTTTCTTTTATTTCTTTATTCTTATAATTTCCCTCAGGGAAGTGGAAAGCTACAGTGCCTAAAGTGGTGTTGTTTACCATTTTGCAAATACTAACACAGTCCAAATGTTTTTTTTTTCTTTATTCTCTAGATTTTGCTCAATATGTCAAGGATATCATATATTTCTTTCTGTATCTGCAGTAAAATTATAAGACCAGAGGATTGCTTTCTGATTTCTATGCATCCTTGTCACATTAAAAATTATTATGCAGAAAAAAATATATACATCCAGTAGAAAAGCATTTTAATCTGGCAGTGAAAATAAGCTTTTCCAATACTGTCTCTTCAAAGTCACTGATGGGTAAAGTTTATTTTATAAGTCTCTTTGTTTATTTGACTTCTTATTTATGGTAGTATAAATAGGAAATAGTGGAATGTACGTGGATTATTGTGTGGAGAGAAGAGCTTTCCCTGTAAGTTCAATTATTCTGTGTAAATTCTGTTTTTTGTGTGTTTTGGTCTTTTTTTGCTATACATGTAGCTCAGATGTGAATGTTCAAATATTTAGAGAAAGTACTGTATAGTATGTTTATAATGAAGCTTATTTTCTTCCTGTCCCGTGTTTCTGACGTGACAGATGACTTCCTTCTTCCTAAGTGTTCTAACTGTATGATTCTTCAATAAATTTTCCTGGAACAGCAACCATCTGCTGAAATGGAAATTGCAATAAAAACCCTGACTGTGTTTTGAGAAACTTAAGGAGGGAACTTGTGAAAATATTCCACCTGCAAAAATACCCTTAATGCTTAACTAGAAAACACCCTACATCAATCTCTGTTGTCAGTGCTTTCCTTAACTGATTTCCCTGTGACTTGAGAATTCAAAACAGTTTGCATCCCGGTTTAGTTCTTCCAGGAATGGGTGTAGAACCAGAACCCTTCAGCCTTTCCCGAAAGCCTTGGTGTTGCAACAAGTTACACCAGGTGAGCTAGATTTGAGGGGTACCAAAGTCACCTTTTGTTTCATCTTTAATTGTTTTCGAGTAAAAGACTGCTACGGAGAAGTGTTCCAGGTGCCAGGAATGAATCAGGAATTTAATGCAGGGAAGATAATTGTGTGGTGCAGTTGGAGATGCTAAGGTCTCTAAGACCTTAAAATCTAAGATAAAATTATCAAATGTGTCACAGGACCTAAGGGGCACCCAAACCTTTCCGGAATAGTTTTATGGACCATGAAGGCAACAGTTTTATACTAGGAACACTGCTGCTAATACAAAAGGGTAGTTATACATTGCTTCACCTCTATTTCTATTGAAAGGTTTAGCTGTAACCGTGGTGTTTTGCTCCAAGTGTTAAGAGCTTTGTTTTTCTAATACTGCATCCAAATGGGTTGACCTAGGAGGAAACACATTATTCTCTAGGAAACAAGAGACAATAGTTTGCAATCGCAGACAAAACAAAAATGTAGATTATGGTTGTGTCTAACTGTAGTCAGTGACATCAGCACTTGGCTGAAGTACATTATGGGCAAATTTAGTGTCACTGGAACCAGGAGAGGTGAAAATACTAGCAAGGAACTAACCAAAAGAAAGCTCAGCTGAAATTCAGTATTAGCAAAAAGCAAGGGGAAGTCTGAGTATATTTTAAAAAATACCACAGTCAACTATATTAAAATATTTATCATAATAAAAATTACTGTTATATTCAATAAGAACTAAGTGCTGCTTCTGCCACTGTATAAAATTGTTCTCAGTCCTCTTAACTAATCTACTGAGCATCTTACAAATTTTTATTTTGAGTCTACAGTAACATGGAGGATTCTTTTCTTTTCTGACATCTGAATTGTGACCATTTGTAATTGACTGCATAAGTCCTCTAACTTTTTAATAGAGTAAACCGTGAGGGTTTCTTTTCTTTATAGCATCAAAGACAGTGAGAAAGGTGCCAAAATATTTTCAAAGTAGCAAGGGCCTGCGTATGATATGTGTGAGTTCTGTTTTTATTCATCTTTCACACACTGAAAAAGGAAATTAAGTTAATGGAAAGTATGTGATATGACAGCAATTGTTGCTAAAATAATATCACGCGTACAAAGAATGTTGCTGAGGAAATTATTCCACACTATTTTTGAAGGGACAGTCAGTGCAGGATCTTTTCCCAGGCGGTAACCAATGATGCAGTATTGCTCTTTTCAAAAAAAAATAAAAGGAACATTTTTTTTCAGGGACATTTGAAACTTTTCCTTGGTTCTGAATTCATTTTGATACAATTTCAGTAGGAAGAACAAAACCATATTAAAAAACAAAACAAAAACTTTGTATTTATGTTTTGGCTTCACGGACAACTTTAAATATTTAGTCTTTTTTAGTAGTTGTTTTTATTTGTAACTAGAATTTCTAACTTGTCAATTTATTAATATGGAATTAAATCATTCATGCAGGAACAACAGCCACCTATTAGTTGATACAAAATTTACCCTAATGCAGGAAGCCAGTCTGACACCTATTCCCAATTATATTACTTGGTTGTTTATAAAGTAGTTCAATGACTGACGTGAACCTCATCCTGTCCCCATAAAAGCTCATCCTGGTCCCAAGAGGGATGTAACTCTCAGTTTATGTCCCGATCCTTTGAACTCAGAGGCAGTCACATGTACATGAATATCCTCACTTGAAATTCAGGGCAATATAGAATCTGTCAATGTGTATGAGCTGACAGGATCTGACTTATCCTGGAATCACACAAATGAAATACAACTGGGGTTGAAGTAGGCCTGAAATTCTGAATCAGTTGCACTCTCTTGTTCTGTTCTGGTTGCTTTTGCTGATGAACTCTGAAGTTCAGCTTTATTACAATGAAATAAATTTTGTTCTGACGTCATTTATCTCTGTAAACAAAATCTCAAAATCCTCCTTTGTATAGAACATTTTAAAAACTAAGGGTAAAAGTCATTGCATATATCGTTTTATATATCTGTCTCACAATCTCTATCTCTATTTCTGTATGTATAGTGTATATATAAATTACACAATATACCTCATTTATTCCTGTTTTTTTTCAAATTAGAAGTATTTTCTCATTAGAAATACACATTTGGTCATTCATTCTTCATTTAATGTTAATGTAGGAAGTTTTCAGCATCCAGCTGCAACAAAGAAGAGCCGGTGAAGGATGTACTAGAACTAGGTAAGTTATATAAAGCTTCAGTTCTGCTTTTGCCATCATGTTCTTAGTAGTAGCTGCAAAGGAATTTGTATGAGTCACTTCTGTAAATCTTAGTTGATTCAGAATAGTTGCACTAGCTAACTTCTTAAATTAACTTCTTGGGTAATACTTTGGAAAGACGTTATTCGAAGTTATTACCTAAACAGAGGATGGCTCATTATATTTCTTTTCTGTCTAAAACCGCTTTCTGTTTGTAAAGACCGAGGATAAGAAAGTGTTAAGTGTCATTTTTATGAACCTCTGGCACTGAGACTGCTTGGGGGATGCAGGGGCAAAAGTTTTTAATCCAACACACTATATGGAATTTCTTTTCTTTCAGTTGATGTCGAGGATGAAGCAACAACTGCAGAAGTTAGTAAGGTCCCGGACCTTTCCACACTCTACATGTTTCAAGTAGCATCAAAGGCAATTGATATTTCACTTGCAAAAGTAAGGCTAGCAGTGATGGTAAACGGAAAACAAATGTATGAAGATGTTATTTCTACTAAGTTAGCCAAAGCTGCCATGAATTGTGCTCTGTTTGTGGGGGCGTGTTGGTGTGTGTTTCCTGGGTATTCCTTATTTGGTATTCAGTTTAATTGGTGATGTGGGAATGTTTGTCCAAAATTCTGAGAAATGCCAGAAAAGCATGCCAGAAGGCATCAGCCCACTTGAAGTACAGATAATAGCTACAACTAATGAAGTTTTATATTATTTTATTATTCTCTCCAGTCAGTTTTGCATTTTTGTCTTTTTTTGAGGTTTTTAACATTGGTTTCAAAACCAGAATGGTTGACAAGGAGGAAGGAGGGAACCTATTATTAACTCTTCCTATAAAACTTGCCATTGCAACCATTGTCAAATCCTACTTTTTCACCTTAATGTCAGGCAGCCAGCAGAAATAACAATATTTATCTTCACAGTATCATAAGCTTTAATATCACAAAACCTTTTTTTTTCCTTTTTAGCTTTTTTTGTTTTGTTTTTTATTGTAAGATCCTTGAATTCCCAGTACTAAATATTCCAAATATTTTGTAGGATATGCTTAGAACAAAAAATGGCCCATAGGGATGACTGCTTATTTTCCTCACTCCTCTCAGGGAGTTCAGTGTTTGCTGAACGAGCCTCATTTCAAGTTCAACATTTCAATTCAGCATGTGCTGACATACCATGAGACAAACAGCAAAACAGACTGTGTTTTCTCATCATCATCAAGGTCCCTTTCTCACCAATATAACCATGTTGTTCTTCTGGCTGTTAAATTTAAGGAGGTATTCCTGTAAGGAAGCCCTGTCCCAGACAATCTGCATAAACAGTTTTCTAATGCTGAGCAACATGTAGCATTATGAGCTGAAGCAATAGTGCAGGAAAAGGAAAATATTGCTCCTTTTCAACCGAGTGCTGCTATTTACAGTATGTATAAAAGAGAAATTAAAAGGGTGGTTATAGAGAGTTAGTCATTACTCTGTCTCAATCCTCCTTTCCTACAAACTACTACATGAAAATATATCTGTCTTTTGGATTTGTTTTTTAAATCAGAACTTCTTTCTTTCTTTTTATTTCTGTTTAGGAAATAAAAAATCTTTTATTTGGCTCTAGTCTTTGTTGCTTCAGTGAAGAATGGAAAATACAGAGTTTTACATTTAATAGCATACCACAGTTAAAATACGGCATCGTGCAAAAAAAGGTACTGTAAATTACTTGCTTAGCACCAAAAAATAGTGGTCATTGCTTTTCTACACTGAGTTTACAGAAGCTGTTTCAGCAGTGAAAAAAAAACCAGTCTTTTAGAGTCTTTTCTTTCTTTAGTATCGCCTGTTACCTTGCCAAATCTTATTAAAAGACTGGAGAAAGATGGAAAGATGGAAGTTTAAACCAGCTTCCTGTCATGTATGGTGTGTGTGGAGTGACTTGTAGGGAGGAGGACAAGTCACTTAAGCTGAAAGGGTATAAATCAGGATAAGGTCAGAGGAGAGATTAAGAGAAAAAGGAATGATGGGGGCAAAAGTGTAAATGGGGGTATTTAACCAGAGTTGCCTGCTGTGGTAGGGAGATGCACAAGGAGATTCTTGCCAGGCTTGAGCTCCTGAGGGCTGGGGGTCATATCATGAGGCTTGCTCTTAAGGGAAAAGGGGAGAAATGCCCCAGCAATGTCCCAGGCATTGCTGTACACATGGGCCCACCTCTTGGCAGCATCTTTTCCTTAATTCTGGGCTGCAGCCATGAGATTCCAGATCCTCCCTAATACAGTTTCATAGTTTCCAACCATATTTCTAAACTCCCCAGCAGTTTCCTCTGGCAACCCGAGCTGGTAAAAGCCCCATGCAATGACTCAGGTCAGCCTTGGGCAGCGTGTAAGCAATTTTAGGTTGAAAGCTCATGTGCCAGATGCAGCGGGTCGGCCCCGTTTCTGAGCTGGCCGAGCCTGAAGCATGGACTCACGCAGTTCCCTGTGCAGGTCATCTATGCACAGGGAACAGGACGTCTTCCACATGCAAACAGATCCCATGGAAAATGAATCCTTTAAGCTGCAGCATCAAACTTTTGCTGCTTGTCACCTAAAATCATAGAATCATAGAAAGCTTAAGGTCAGAAGGGACCTCTCGAGGTCATCTAGTCCAACCCCCTGCACACGCAGGGTCACCTAGAGCACGTGGCACAGGGCTGCGTCCAAGCGGGTTTGGAAGATCTCCAGAGAAGGAGACTCCACAACCTCTCTGGGCAGCCTGTTCCAGTGCTCTGGCACCCTCACTGTCAAGAAATTTTTCCTTAAGTTCCTGTGAAACTTTTGCTGTTTCAGTTTCTGGCCGTTTCCTCTAGTTCTGTCGGTGGCCACCAGTGAAAAGAGACCAGCACCATCCTCTTCACTGCCTCCCTTGAGGTACTTCTAGACACTGATTAGATCCCCTCTCACCTACCAAGTCACCTACCTTGTGACATGCTGCTGTGACACCCATGTACAAGATCTCTTGCATTAAGAGTAGGATCTGAGGACTTTATTACAGAGGAGACTGGAGAAAGGATATATTAAGCCTCAAAAGGGTACATCAGGCTTCATTACAAACATACATCATGCTCCTGAATGGACACAGAAAAATCTCTATCTATCTAGGCTGGGAAAAGTACACCATGATGTGATATACATGTAGAAGTGAGGGAAGGAGGAGCTTTGGGCAAGGGCAGGGGCTGGTAACCATGTTATTAAATATTTAATTTAGTATGTTTAGTTAAATGATTCATTAGGCTGATTCTTAGAAGAAAGCTGACAGCATGGCTATATTTAGATAAAACCTAGTAAAAAAGTATTATATGGTTGTTTTAGGGAGGATCTGGAATTTTATGAGTATGTATATTGTGTATTTACCTGGAAAATAGAAGGTGTTCATGTGTAAGCTACTTCTGATTACAAGAGCTTTGTTTTCTAGGTTGCGTGTTATGTATACTACATTGCATTGCATTGAGTTTGGTGCTGTGCTCAGAACAACCTGAGAGTCAACCTGATCACTTGATGAAAATAGCAGTGCTGGCTGCACCTTTAATCCCATCCAAAATTTTGAAAGGGGCTTGAGAAATACTAAAGAAGTGATCCATCATGCACCCTGATTATGATCTACCCACGAACTTGAGGGTGTGAGTGTAGCATATGACAGCAGTGCCATCCTGGATTTATCTCCTATTATGGATAGTAACTGTAACACAGACTTGGACATGGCCAGAATCAGAGCACAAATTCTGCAGGAAACTACATGGTGGCCCATACTTTTTTTTTTTTATCTTCATTATTTTTCTTACCTTATCTTCACAGGCAAAACAAGCATTAGTACATTACTATGCATGGGATGTCAGTGTGGGCTGGAGCCACGTTTTAAGGGATAGACTTCTTAATTTTAAAGCTAAGTCCATTTCTGAGAGTGATACCTATGTGCTGATAGATATTTGGAACAGCATCTGTAGAAAGCACTACATTTGGTGTGCTGACTCCTCAGTTATGCTGCAGTGATGCCCAGTGCATAAGTGTGAATGCTGTTGTGATACCTGTGCTATTAGTCCTGTATCCTGAGCCAGGATATGGCTCTGAATGTCCTTATGAAGGTGGGAATTTGAGGGGAGGCAGAGTGCTCAGAGGAAACATATAGGCAAGACCTAATTCCACCCTCTGGAAAACAAATAAATTTGATTTTTTCTCTAGAATTCAGCAGGGATCAGAAGATCTTTGCGTGATTGAGGAATGCATCTTTTGACACCACAGTTGAAATTATGGTCCATTCTGGGCTTCTTTGCTGGAAGAGTAGAAGGGAAATGCAGTGTCAGTTAGTAACATTGATTTTCAGGGGCTTTGAAATGCAGAAAGCACTGCAAAGTCTTGGATGGAAAAAAGAGATGAAAGAATGGCTTGAATGGAAATATATGGATTGCAAAAAACTCTCAGCAGAACCAAACATTGGAAGTTGGTTTTTTGTTTGTTTCTTTTTCATGAAGTCTCCTATTATTCCCCTCAGGGTGGCCCATGTGGAGTCCTGGCAGCAGTTCAGGCTTGTGTCCTGCAACAGCTTCTCTTTGGAGACAGTAACAGGAATAAAGACACTCGGTAAGTCAGCAGGTAACATCTGGAATATATTCCACATTGAAGGGAAGAAAAAACCATCTCCTGCAGCCAGCAAGGAGCCTTTTTGAGTCTGGAGCAATTGCACCTTATGTTGTTTCTGAGGGGGAAAGAAAGTACCATGTGATTTATTAGCATTTGCTTCCCTTTTAACTCTAGAAATTTAAAGGTTGGATTTCCATTTTGATAGTTACTCGCTTGTGATTAACCATGAACCTCTAAAATATCAAACACCTTGATTTGTGGTCAATGAAAATTATTTAACATTAAGATCCCCAAGGAGAAATAGTTTCAAAGAAATTATAATCAAGGTTTGAAAAACTATGGAATTAATGTATTTTTCAACACTAAGAGAGAATCTGAATGAGGATTTAAAAGTTATTGCTATGTATTTCTTTCTTGATGGCGTTTTTGCCTTTCACAGCAGAACTCTTTAATAGAGTTTAAATTATATTTATGTGTTTTCTATGTGCTTCATAAGATCTCTGTTAAATATTGTTGGCATCAAATAAAATTACTTGGACTGCTATTTGAATAATATTAATATACTTTGCTAAAGGAACAGAGCTTATTCAATGAAATGCTGGAAAATAATGTGTAAAAAGACTTCACTTAATTACCATTCCTTCTGTATTCATTGCAATAGAACAGTTTCCCAGAGCTTTACTACATTTTATAGATGCAGTTTGTTCAATAATATGTTCAATATTTTACTGATATTTTTGTTTTCACTTGCATCTGGGTGGGTAACTCTCTGACCTCACTGTAGTCAGAAGGAAAGCTTTCAGGCTGAGGTTTCCCTCAGATTTCATGAAACCATCTAGGAAGATGAAAGAACCTTCTCTTATAACAAAATTTAACCTTGAGTGTCCCCTGTCCTGCTTGGAGCTATTTGTGATAGTGGCAAGGTTTCTGTTGAGTTTTCCTCAGCTTTAGCTGACTGGCATCTAAAGCAAATTCTGGGCTGTTCTTATAAGCAATGGAAAGAAAAAGGCACCTTGTTGAGCACCATTGCCTGTCTCCAGCATGCATCAAAATGTAAGACAGGAGATGATCAACAGTTTGCCAGGCCCTAGTGAGTCCTCATAGGCAGCCAGGTCCGGGTGCACTATGTTTTAAGCAGTTCTGAGCTGAGATGCCACATAAACCAGTCAAGACTTGTAAACCCTGCTTACAATCCAAGTAAAATATTGAAAGTTTTACCATTATTACTCCTGTTGTTGCTGTTATTAATGGCACTGACTACTTGTGGACCTCCAGATAAGGGTTCAATTGAAGTAGTTGCTATGAATTCATCAATGGAGAATTGCCTGTTCCCTGAAGCAATTTAAAGATAAATAATCATGACAGGTAAATAGATGGGTTCAGTGAAATAATCATACCTGTTCAGAGTGCAATGTCTTGCTAACTTTACAACGTTATGTTGTTGAGTGCTCCTTTCTTCTTCAGTTCTTTCAGAACATCACATCTGTCTGTAATTCATCTCAATAACCTGCTGCTCAGAGACACTTTTTAAATTGGCAGATAATGCTTCCCAAACTTCTTAAAAGTAGCACCAGTACTTCAAGAATTTTCTATGCAATTTAGCCACCAAATTTCAAAGAGTCTGCCTCTGTTTACTTTTATGAAGAAATACAGAAGTCATTTATATAAGAGGTATTGAGGAAAGAAGAATACTTTTCCCAACAGGATTGGGAGAAACTTTGCAAATACATTCCAAGCGTTAATGCAGCAACTCTACCTGTTTTAGCACAAATATTAACTAGCAAAGTAGTAAGAAATATATAAATTATTATTGCTGTTCAGGCTATAATGACAGTAGATTTTTCAAGGCTGAGTCTGGCTCTTGTCCAGAAAAAAGGAGCTCAAAATCTCCATGGAGGAAAAATGACACATTTAGATTTGATGACAGAGAATCTCCCCAGAAAACACCAAAGAATTATTTCTGATTGTGAGGAGCAGGAATTTATTCCAACTTGGAGGACAGGCCTTGGTGGTCTGGTCCCCTGGAGTCCTCCTTGATAGAGGTACTAGCCTTTGCTCTTTCAGCATGATGTGGTGATGGTAGATGTTGTAAACCTATAAGGTACCAAAATAAATGGGTTAATGGAGGATAGAAAAATAATGGGTTAATTGAGGACAGATTGTTTAAACTGTAAATGTTCCAAATTAAATTGGCTGTAGTGCTTACTTGGCAATATTTGCCCCTCTTTTTTTTTAACTCCTGTTATCCACATTGTTTTAAATGACTTTGCTTTTACATATTTTGTATATGAAAAGGACTGCTGAGGTATGCAGAAAGGTTCTAAGGAATTTTAGATTAAGAGGTCTTTGTGTACAGATATTCAGTTCCTGAAAATGAATAGCAAGATGGCCTAGTTTATTCATGAGATAAACATATTTTTCTTGTGAGGTGCCATTGGCAGAAACTCTTACTCAAGCAGAAAGTGGAGTCTCAGTGCTTGAAATGAACACTTGCTTCTTTCTGATGTACCTTAATTTTTGAAATACTAGCCATTTTAAGTTAAGCATTGAACTTCAGACTTATTCAAGAAATAATTAGTATGTCTCCTTCTTATTCTGCTACCTCTCAGACATATGAATTAGCTGCTGTGCATCACATGAATTCCTGAGTGTCTGTATTAAAATGAAGCAAAGATAAGGGACCATTGTGGTTATATTGGTTCTAATTGAAACTCTCACCTATTCGTTCCCATATCTCACATCCTTCAGAGGGGAAACATTCTCTAATGGAACATTACATTCAAGACAGATGTTGAACTTGAAAGACTTTTTTATTTTTTTTTGATGTTTGAAGTTTCTTGTTTAGTCTTTTGAATTATTACATCTTTTACTCAAATGCTGGAAACAGGTTTTGGCTTCATGTCCCATCCTGGTAGCATTTGAAAACTGATAATATCTGAATTTCAAAGAGCACCATTCTTGAAGCCATAAGAGAAGGATTCCAGTTCTGAATTCCCAGGGGGAAGAGTCTGTTGTCCAATTCTTCAGGCAATGCAAAGACTCATGAATGCTTGAGTTTATTCCCAGGTCTGCCTGTTCTCCCCCATTTGACTTTTGCCCTTGTATTGCTTTATTTTTCCATTTACGTTTTAGAAGTTAGAATAACATGAGTTACTAGGAAACTTCCCAAAATACAATTTGTATGAAATATGTTGACATTGTTGCGTGTTTGCAATCAACGGGCTACTGTAAGCCTTCATTACATCATTGCATATGTACCAAACCAAGTATAAGTGAAAATGTTTCAAAAACAATTGGGTTACCACCCATCAGTTACCACCATGTTTTAGCTCAACACTTCGGGAGGTACCATACTAAAAAAAAGTGTTTATTGCACATTATGTTTTAGACAAAGATTGTTAACAGGGAAAGAACATTACAGTATAGATTTTAAGACCAACAGAGCTAAGAAATTAAAGTTTAGGAAAGAAATTAAGGGCCTTTATAAACTAAAAATTGCATATAAATATATAACTATATTAATATAAAGCAACCATATTGCAGAATATTAAAACAAATTTGTGACAGATTTAAGGTTCTATTTGCCTGTTCTATTAGTTGCCAATATTCTTCCGTAGAGTATGTTTACCTGTATTTTTTCCAACTAGTTATAAAAATATGTTCTGAGAAACCATGTAACTTTTCTTTAAGAAGATTATTTTACAGTATATGATATTAGTAACCATATTGGCTTATTGTTCAGCTTACAGGTTTTGTTTGTTTGTTTGTTTTGAATTGGCCTTCAGAACTGCCTAAATCCCTCTCTTGACTATAGAAGAAATTGAGATATCTAATGACAATTTTGAAGGGTCATTTTGGGGCATTACAACACCTAGATTGTCTCCAAGAAAACAGTTTTGTTCTTATAGCTACAAACCTGCAATGAATAAGTATATACTGGAACAGAAGCACTATTTTCTCTAATGGTTAAACTTCCCAGAACACATTTTGATATTTGTTTTGCATTTTCTGAGCTACAGTAGTCTTCAGCCTTCAGAAGTTCACAGGACCAAATGCCTCACCATGGCTATCGCAGGGATATTATGGCGTGCAGGAGGCAATGAAAAAGCAATTGTAGCACTGTAAGTAAGAGAAGAATTTCTGGTTATTGTACAATGCTCCCGTGGTTGTGTTTGTTACATATGTACCTAGCTCACAAAGTCAATGGTTCTTAAGATGTATTTATGCAGTCCAAAATAGTTTAGGAAGAAGTATTGCAAAATACAATTTCTACTGATGTAGGACTGAACAATAAGACTCCAAAATTGCTGTGAAAAAATCCTATGGTTTTACTGAGGCTAGAATTCCTGCAAAATCTCTGCCAACAGATTTTGATCTGGAAGTGGCACTTTATCAGTTCTCTATTGCAAGATATCCTATTATGGCTGGGATTCATTTCACTTTCCTGTAGCTGCCTATTCAAATTCTTAGTTTCTGCTAATGTTGCAGCTAGTTTGCCTATCTATAGGACGTCTGATCTTTAGACACTTCGGGTTCACTGTCTGGAATCCGAAATTGTTTTTCTTTTATTGAGTCAGGCATTGTGAGACGAGGTCATTTCTTTTATTGGGTCAAATAAGATAACTGAAAAATAACATAGAAGCTTTTAGGCACAATTTCTTCAAAACTGAAATAAAAGCAGCAAATTTTAAGACATTTCAACTGATATCTTGAATGTTTTCCATCTGTGAAATTCTCTGAAATGTTTCTTCTGCAATGATAAACTACATCTGTTCCTCTGCTTCTGTTTTAATGTCATTACTCTAACACTCTTTTCCAATAAAATGTCATTAACATTTTAAACCTATATTTATCCTCTTCCCGTGTGTATAAATGTAAAATTCTTGTTAAGTAGGTTGAGAAAGGGAGCACAGAAAAAGTAGATATTTATTTGATAATAGTTGGGTTTATTTAACTTGTAACATGATTTTTTAATGTAGATTTTTCTTTAATAGTTAAAAATAGTGAACTATATCCTTGGTTCATCATCTGATTCATATGGCATGTTGATTTCTCTTTAATTTGCTTTTGGCCCTTTTAACATGAACTTTGGTTTTGTTCGACTATCCTTTTTAGGCCATCAGGAAAGCAGCAGTTCACTCCAATAGGAAAATACAAAGCAGATGGAATCTTAGAAACTGTAAGTTTCTCTGTAACTCAAAGTGATATTTTCCATATATCCTTTTTGAAACTTTTCTTATTTTAGCACAATGAATCTGATTTCCATATATCCCAGGCTACTTTCATCGTGTTTTAAAAGCATGTCAAATTATTTAACTGTTATCCAAAAACCAGTAGGAAATAATAAAATCCTGGAGTCTCTCTGATTCTGTCCAGTATCTGCAGACAGTCGGGCTCTCTCAGGACCCCTTGTTTCCTTTAGCTTTCAAGCTTGTGAACAGTGCCCACTTCTGTTGGGATGCAGTTAAAATGAAAATGGATCCTTAGATCCAAGCACAGCCATGGGTATCGAAAGGCAATATTTTCGTTTTATGCTTTATACAGTATTTTTTGCCTTTTTTCCCCTCAGTAACTGCAAATGGCAAACTACTTTCCAGTTATGCCTTTTTTTCCATCTGATTTTTTTTCCAGTAACTTTGTAAACATTTATGCCATAAGACAAGTTTTAGTGGTTTAAGGAAATATTACTGGCCTCCTAAATGCAGGCAAGGGTGTGTCGTGACACTTTGCAGAACCAGACAGTTTTGGAACAACTGGAAGCAAAAACCTTTATAAATGTGGTGAATGTAGCACAAAAATTTGACTATCATATGCTCTTCCAAGAGACAAGATACATTATGTAATTAATATGCTAACATAATTCTGAGCTGCTTGCCATTTCAGAGTTAGTTAACAGCATAACACTGCCTTTAAGTATTGCATGTCAAAATTCATGAGGATTTAGCCACAGGGAAACTAAAGGGAAATCCATGATGTAAAGGAAACACCTGATAGACTCAGGAATATAATCCTGATTATGTCACCTTTCCCTATACCATATCTGCAGGACGATCATTTCTTTCAGATCAAAAGGTGGTAAAATAGACAAAGATTGTTGAAGTAAGGGTCTGGTCCTGTGATCCTTTTTATGTTAAATAGGATTATTATGTTATGTTTTTATGTTAAATAGGATTATTCATAGGAGAATCCCCTGATTTGGCCCTTTTCTACTTTCTAAAGCTGCGTTGTTCCTATGCTTTTTCTAATAATTGCTTTTTGTTGTATAAATAATGCTTAAAATTGAATGAAGTAGGCCATACAATTAACTTGCAAAAGGCAAGAAGCAGCATTTAAAAATTCAGAATGTATGAAGATCTAAGAATATTTTCCTGAGTAACAACAACCAAAAAAATATGTTTCACTAGCCTTATATACTCTTTAATGTTATTTAATTCAGCTTTTATTAAGCTTTAATTCAGCTTTTGGATTATAGAAATGATTTGTTATCATTTCAGTTGCATTTTTTTCTTTCATTTCTTCCCAGCTAATACTGCATAGTGCCACAAGATACGAAGATCTGCTTGCATTTCTTCAGAAGAATATTCACCAGGTACTGTGTAAAGGGAAGATATTAAATTTGTTATTATTCATCTGCCAGTCTTTCTGTATTTATCAGTCTCATTTGATGTCTCCTGAACGTTGTTTCAGACACTGTGTGGGCTTGCCTTGCATTCTAAAACACAGAGCAACAAATTTCACTTTTAGCATAAATGGGAATGGTTCTGCTTTCAGTTGGTTTTGCCTTTCTTTAGGTTTGGGCTAAGAAATGTACACAACAAGGAAAGTAAACACTATTTATTTATTTATTTTTCAGTTTGAAATTGGTCCCTGTGGTTGCATCCTCCTGACTGTGTCCGTCATCTTATCAAGATCTATCAATCTGTGAGTGTCTTTGTATCCATGTTTTTCCTAAAATTTCAAGGTGACTAAAGCAGTGAGCAACTGAGAAAGAAGGCAGCCATGATGTACTAAACTTTCTGGTTTACTTCCCAATTGTAGCCTGAATTTAATGGTGACAAAATTCAAGTTTCTTTTGTTGTTGTGCTGGTGTTTCCTCAATTTACCTGTCTACTTCCTGATGTTAACAGCTTAACTGGCCATGATGGATTAGACCAAGGATTGACCTACTTATTTGTAGTTGCATATAGAAAGGGTATTAGAAACTGGTTAAGTATAGAGGAATCCCTGCTTACGAAATTGCTGTCAATAAGCTGAGGGCCTTCCTGAGCTGGAAAAGAGTGAGTGGACTGTGTATTCACTGCCTGATGTATTTTGAGAGCAAACCTGCTCAGTCTTCATGAGAACTGTGCAAGCCAGACTGCCTCATTTTCCTCTTATGAGAGACTTCCAGATCCCCAGGTGATTTTCTTTGTATCTCTGGATTTGAATGAAGCTTTATTCAAGAAAGTCCCAGAGTGGTTTGTCATGTTTTAGAGACTTTTTTCCTCCCAAGGTAGGATGCAGTGGTTAATAGTTTTGCATCTGTTTCAGAGTATTTTTTTTTCCAGTTACCTTGCAGAGTTGTTTAACTCACTGCTATCTTGCAACCCACAAAGATTCACTTGTATTTCTTTCTGCCATATTCAACAAATATATTCTTGGCTGTGGCAGATCTATTTCCTAATCATTCAAGAATAAATAAGCTTTGACCATTGCTATATACCTCCCACATACTGGCATGAGTGGCTTCTGTAAGAAAATATTGGTTGCAGAATAAATCCATCCAGAGTGCAAATGTGTTGTTGCTGAGGTTGTCGGTTTTCATGTTGATCCCTACCACAACCAAAAATAACCTAACTTCACAGGCATTTAATATTTTCTTCTTCATCATTTCAGTACATAATGTTTAGGCTCTTAGGTCTCCAGCAGAGATTTTCTGATCTCCTCCTGAAGAATTTCTGGCCTTCTAAGGAGCTTTGCTTAGTTTTTGTTTTGAATCGTGATGGTAACATTATGCATATCCTACCCTTTCTCTGTCTATATATACCTGTAAATAGTTGCCTATGCTTCCTGTATTGTCAGCTGAAAGCAAGACCCATCTAGAGAGCTGCTTTTGTCACCTACCTTAAGCCTTTTTTTTAGGGTGTGATGAATAATTTGCTGGGGGTGCCCCCTTCTCTACATCAATGGCAATGATAAAGAAGGCTTAGCATAGCTTGGATTAGGCACATAATTTTTAGAGTGTTACAAGTAAAGCATGATAAATCTTGGCCAAGTTAATATCTGTTGTTAAGTTATGCTTGACTTAAAGAGGTAGTCATTAAAGTAGCCTCTTTTAAAAGCAAGTAGAGGCTTGTCTAAACAAATTTGCAGTTAGTGGTGTTTTTGTACATCTTGAATGTATTTCTGTACTGTTGTGCATCTCCGAGCTGGTCAGAATGCAAAATCTTTCTTTGTGCTGTCAGCTCCACTTTTGTAAAGAAGCAGAGAATTATCTCAAGCGAAAAGAACTGTCAGGGTGTTACTTGACAAGTGCATTTTCAACATGCGGTAACAACTGTCATAAAGACAGTAGCTGCACTTAAAAGCAGCATGGTAAGTAAAATGGTGTCTTTCTTTTTTGTCACTTCTCATTATTTTGAAAATAAATAGCAACTTAGAATCAAATTTGAGATATGCATTCAGTTGCTCACCCATTGAGCATTTACAGATCTTTTTTCTCTTGCTTTTGTTTCTTCTTTTCTCTAGGGTACAGTAACACTGCAGGCCATTTGCTTACCTCTCTTTATTTTCCACCCCGACACTAAAGAAATTATAATTTTATAGCTTTTTTTTTTCTGAGCTGCTTAGGACATGACGATCCAGCATAGTAAAAGTATTTGAGTAACAATACAGTTGGCATTTAGCAAAAGCAGCAATATTCCTAGTTGCTGTTGATAGCATTGCTTTACTAGTGATTAAATGGTTAACATTATTTAATAATAATAGCAAGGAGTTTATTTTTCTCATCATCTTTCAATTCTTAACAGATGATTTATGACAGAACCAATTTAGCATTTGTGACTATTCAGGCAGAGCCATCTCAAGGTGAACATGAGAATTCCTTATGATGCCGATTTACATTTTTCAGTATCTAAATGTTTTTACAGGTCTGGTCCACAATGGAAAACTGTTTATAAAACTTAACTGTCTTTGGAGGAAGATTCATGACCTTCATTTTTAAACAGCATTACTCTTCTAGCTTTGCATTGTGTAGTCCATTGCATTAGGAACAGACCTTTTTTAAAATAAGAAATAGGAATTTTTCTCTGTCTCTAGAAGCAGTAGAATCTCTTAGGCCTTTTGTATAATTATCTTTTAAAAGAGCAAACTAAATTTTGTTTATATAAGTTTCAATAATAGGTGAATGCCTATGTCATAATACTTCTCTTAAATAGCCTCATGGGTCATATCGTCAAGAAATATGTACCATTTAGTGGCTGTTACATGCATTGCAGGTAAGTATTTACATAGCTGACATAGTTTTGGTTGAATATTTAAATAGTATTGGAGCTGCTTTAAGTAATGGATTTTTCATTCAGAATGGGGAATAGTTCGTTGGGAATGTTTTTGTCTGAGATTTTTAAAAGAAAATCAGTTTTTAAGGAAACAGGCATTTCTAGGAAGTTTCAGTTTTCCTGATCTTCTATGCATACTCTACTGAAAAAGTTAGAAAAAAAAATTAATTTTGAGAAATTTGCATATTTTGGTTCTCAAATCTTATTCAGATATTTAAGTCTATTTCAGTTCTGCATCATAAACTCACAATGCTGACTGACTGGGGTTCCTTAGTTCTGGGGTTCCCTCTCCCATACTTTATTAACATCTCTTTTAAGGAAATTGAAGACTAGGGACATAATATTATTGAACTATAATTATCACAGAACAGAGCATTGTGCAAGATACAAAAGTATATCCAACCAAGAACAAAGCATTTATATTTGGTTCAACGAAAAGAAGACTGATGTTTTTATTCATGAGTATTGAAATGTTCCTTTTACTCAGGAATGTGTATTTTTCACAATATTTTCCGTTCCATAAATTATTCCAATATTTGACTTAAGTTTTCATTTTGGTAAAATAAAGGAGAAACACGTTATCTTATATGGTGGGAAAGATTAATTATTGGTCTTGTAGCTCATACTGAGTGCCCGTATCAAGCTGTGATACTTGGTGCTGCTCAGAGCGATAGAGACTCTTTAGCATCTTCTTAAATCCATTGGCAACTTCTAGCAGTTCAGAAAGTGCTACCCATGGAATAATCTCATCTGTGTTGAGCTATCTAGAAATTATATCCAGTCTCAGTCCTCCCAGCTCTATCTGTGCTCAGGAAAAAGAGAACAGCTACTTTAGGAAAATCATCCCATCAAAAAATAAGTGTCAGGAAGGGCAGGGAGACTTGCTATAGGGGCATACTTATCTTTTTCCTTTAACTTTGGAGGAAGAGAGAATGACTTTCTTAGATCAGACACCTAACTCTTTGATGGCTTCTGTGTTTCATGTAATGATTTCTCTCATCAATTTTAATTACTTACTATACAAATACTTGCATGTGGACTCTCTCTAAGAGCAAAAATAGAAAAAGATCATGATTCCTTTGACATTAGCATTTTAATAATTTGGCCATTTAATCATTTAACTTCATGTCTTGAAATGCTTAGTTATGTTCACCGTATATGAAGAAAATTTAAAAATTACTCAGCTATAGGCTGTGCATTTGCTGTACGCATTTGTAGTCCAATGAATTATGTCCTAATGTGCCTGATCAGTAAAGTAGGAGATGAAATTCAGCATTAATAATGTAAAGTGTCATATATGCTGGGGGAAAAAAAAAAAAAAGAAAAAACTGTCCCAATTATGCTTACCTAGTTAAGGATTTTAAAACAACTGGTATAAAAAAAGGAAGAAATTCTGGCATCATTACTGGTAAGTCTCAGTTAAATTTTCAAAGATGGTCAAGCCAGAAGTAATGTGTTAATAATGGCATTGAAATTATGCCGTTAGGAATGGCATGAGAAATTAGGATGGAAGAAAAAGTGTTGACAAAGTTATATAAATATGTGATTTTTTTCAGGTCTTTATCTTGCATGTAGCCTTGTCTTCCCAGATCAGCAAAGATACACTAATACTAGAAAACACTGGAAGGAAAAGAAACAAAGATTGTCATTAGTATGGAATAGTTTCCATTTGAGGATAGGTTAAATCTTTCCTCTTCAGTACTGAAGAGGGACAGTTTGAATGTGATAAAATTCATATATCACAAAATCAGAGAATTGCAGAAGCTTCATTTTTAAAACAAAATGCAAGTAACTTCCAGTACTAGAAACTGTGGTGGCCAAAAGTATGAAAAGGTTCAATACACAAATGAGTGAAAGATGTATCCATCGATAGCCTTAAACCAACCTGTCCAGATGCAGCCTCCATGTGCCCATCCTTGTATTCTGCCTTGATATGTGCTGACTGGATGCTGGAATAGGATGACTTTTAGTCTGACTCCATAATTTTTTGCATTGTTACTGTGTTTTTTTTCTTGCAAATGGAAACTCCAAATTTCAGCTACGTCTATTGGGCAGATACTCTAAATTAGTAACGCTATAAGCCTGCACAGCCAGGAAATGCAGAGTTTTGCACTGCCTTGTAGATTTTGCTAATGAGTTTATCATATTCCATGCGTAAATGATCATCACTGGTAGAACCTATAACAAATCACCAACGAGGAATGAGAATTCCTGAGGAAGTTGCTCAGAACGTCTTGTTGCTTCTGGTACAGGAAGGAGTGCTAGTCACTAACAATTGCAACTTCTTTTTTATTTTTTTTTGCAACCAATGAAGAATTAAAAAATAGTGGCACTGTTATACTAGCTCAAGGGACTAATCTTCTCGAACGTGCAAGATGTGTACAA